CTCTCTCTCTCTCTCTCTCTCTCTCTCTCTCTCTCTCTCTCTCTCTCTCTCTCTCTCTCTCTCACACACACACACACACACACACACACACTGCAAGGGCATGGTGGAAAGATGCACGCCGCTCATGAGGGCATAATTTCCACTGCAAGGGCATGGCGGAAAGATGCATGCCGCTCATGAGGGCATATCGTGCAAGGACCGGTGAAATGGGACTGGCCGTCTGGTAAGGGCACCGCGGTAAGCTGGACCCCTTGCTGACGCTGAATAATAGAAATGGTCCAGGGGCATGCAGGAAAGTTCAGAGGCTCCAGGGGCACTACAGGGTAAATGGTCCATCAGAGTAGGGAGACGCTGAATAATAGAAATTACAGGGGTGCCAGACAAATTTTTCCAAGAAAAAAAATGGAAATTTTGTGAGGTAGACGCTAAATTACCCCTCAAAGTTGTGGATATAGAGGAAAACCCATCCGCAACGCTGCCGAATTTTTGCGGCGGCAGCTCTGGTTTTAACGGCGGTAGTGTCGAAGCGCTGCGGAAATTTTGCGGCGGCGGCTCTGATTTTAACAGCGGTGGTGCGGAAGTACTGCCGGATTTGCGGCGCGGCAACACTTGATTTTCTTTTGGCGGGGAAGTGCTGCCGGATTGGTGGCGCGGCAGCACTTTTTTTTTCTTTTTTTTTTTGTGGAAATGCTGTTGGATTAGCGACACGACAACAGGGATTTGCGGCACAACAGCGGCGGAGTTTTTTTTTACGGCGCGGTGTCTGTTTTGTTTGATGAGGTTGTGCTACCAGATTTGGAGTGTGCAGTGGCGGCAACGTGACGCGGTGGCAGTTGGCGCGCGCGACACTATGAAATTTGCGTGAGGAGCGAATGTTGGTGGTGTAGGACCATCAACGACCACTTGGGAGCAGTTGGGACAGACGTGGGACTAGTTGGGACTGTCTTGAAACCAACATTTTTTGGGGGACTCGTGCGACTTGCCGCCATCGGATCTGGGACTACCGCATGTGGGACTTGCGAGTCGGGAACAAATTGGAACAAGCAGTTGGCTTGAGACTTGCCTTGGGACTGCAGTCTCTTTGGCAACAAGTATGTTATTTCTTGGCTTTCTTGAGTGAGCCAAGGCGCGTTCGGCACCACTTCACTCAAGGTCAATCAGTTGATTGACTCAGATTTCCCTTCACACCTATGTGAACCCACACTTTGCTTGACCCCGTTTCATTGAATGTTCGTTGAAAAGGTAAAGGAAAGTCATGCGTATCGTGCATGTGAATGAAAAGGTCTGACTTGAGCATGGGGTTGCACTGGTTTTCTCTTGAACTTGTTGTCCATGCGTGTTGTGCAGGTAGGTAGAAGGATGCTTACAAAAGAGATTGATTATGCCTAATTGAGAAAAAGGAAAATCATTATCTTCCTTTTACTTCTCACCCGCCTGTATGATTCGTTGTTTTGAAAAACGGTAATTTTGTGTGTACTGTAGAATGAATTCGATTGAAATATGGCAGATAAGGTCAGATGGACTTAGCCTTTCCCAAGGATTGACCCTTTCTATCCTGAATGACTTCATATACCTTTACCAGTCCAAATAATTCTCATTCTCCATCACGTCTGACTCTTTTTCGTCTAAATTACCTTAGGCAAGGGAGGATGAGAACAACTGAAAATTTACTTGCGGTGGACGCTTTCTCTCTTTCAAGGAAGCATCTGGGGCGTTGCTTTAGGAGCCGACCCTGTTATCGACCCAGAGTGGACCGTTCTACGGGGGGGTACTTTGCCGATTCGGTGGAGACGGCCCGACGTCTGAGATCCGAATCTTGTGCTCGGGTGAGGAGGAGGAGTACCCCAGACCACTTCCTTGAGGGAGAGGCATACAACACCTAAAGCAATGCCCCTGATCAAGAATCATCCGCAAAACAGTCCGTCATCCAAGAAGATTGAGAAACGTATGGAGAGGGGTGTGTGCATGTTCAATCTTAGGTCGGCAGTAGGATGGAATGAATAACTTTGGCAGTGTATCTCATCAAGTCAAAACTAAGACAGACCGACTACCTTGTCGGCTGCATTGAGGTTATTGTTAAAAGCCAACTCCTCGTTGGCGGCTGTATGATTATTGTGGAATTCGACCAGGGGGTAGTCGGATTTTATTTTGATATTGTGTTACTGTATGTATCTAATGATGATTTAGATTCGTTCGGTTATCATTTCATATTGGATATATGTTTATGTCGATTATGGTCGATTATTTTTTATGTAACTATGTGTGGTTGTTATGTCTTTCTTCTTAACTGGTGATCAAAGGGACTAGGATATTGGGGGTTTCACACTAGGTTGAGACCGTCCTAGTTGACCAGCGTACACTTCGTACTCAGGAGATCAGCGCCCTAAGGAACGGGTGACGTCCGGGTTCAATAGGCGTTTTAATCGCGCATACCTATACTACAGCGAGCGAGCAAACGCCCTCGGCTGACCCACCTCTGCAACTGCATGTAAAGGCTTTCGCACGTGGGTCGGTAGCTCGGTAGGGATACGCCCCTACGGGTGGTGACAGCCCCTTAGGGAAGAAAGTTACTGCGCCGCAGGAACCTATCATGTCGTAGGGGACCGCGGAATGTACAAGCTGGCGCACCCGGCTAGAGCGACGAAGGGACGACGCGATCGTGCACCGCCTCGGCGGCTCACGGAAACTATTTCACGTCGTCCCCAAGTTGTCTCCGTGTTTTGTTTTATTGTGTAACTCCTGCGTGACGGGACCGGGAGAGCTTCTGCCTTCACTGCGTGAGTGAGGCGGAGGCCGGTGCGCTCGACACCACATACCCGACACCAGCTCGTCGGATCGCCCAACTCTCGCACTCACTCACCTTCCAAACTTGCTCGTTAGCCGACCCTCACTGATCGCGCTAACCTCTAAATTCTTAGAGAGCAAACTAATCGCGCTTGCGAAATTTATAACATGCATGCCTGCGCGAAAGGCATGAGATTAAGCCCAGGTGGACAAGAGGAGAAAGAGGAAGTGCCTACGTCTGCATGGCCAAGCCGCGGCATGGGGGTCGTAGCCACACTCCACGCATCGATCCGGTCATGCAGGCATTCCGACCAATTAGAACAAAGCATGCGAAGCGACAACGAAGAAAAAGAAGGCGGGCAAACACAAGGAAACCTATAAAGAAGAAAGATACAGTTACAATCGCGTCCGCCAAAAACGACAGTTGCACAAGATTAAGGGCGCGATCCAGTCAGAGTCCGGTTCCCAACGGAGCAAGATGCGCGCAAGCACGACGCAACAAAATTAAGCGTTCCTAAATTCATAGCCTAAGTCCTAATTGCAAAAGGAAATTCCGAAAAACAGAAAAACAATTCCGCGAGCCCATGGGGCCTCGTCGTGAGTTGAAAATTCAAAAACGATATTCCCGCGCGATGATCGCGCCAAAAATCCCCAGTGCTCTCAGCAGAACAAGAAAAAAGCTATGGTACAGATATTTCTCGCGCTCGCCAAGGCGCAGGTACCCAACCGTTGGTACGGGATTTTCCTGACACCGATCCAACAACTTCCAACAGAAAACGAAAAGAGACGAGGACACCTATGCATTTGCCCGTCCGACCCATCTTTCCGCAACTCACCCATTCGACCCGTTGTATTTCCCCAAGCAGCTTCACGCAGAAAGTCGCGCGATTACAGAAGATGGTTCGTCACATATGTGACGCCCAGGGGGTTCCAATCTTAAGCAAGCTCCCACTTGCTCTCTCGTCAGACGCCGACCAGTTGTCCGATGATCGACGCGGAGCCGAAACGTGTCACTTACCGTAGGATCTGAGTGTGGAAGTTATCCAACGTGGCATGCGTGCGCTCAATCCAAAATACTGCCCGGGAAAGGTAGTCTAATTACGGGTGGGG